CTCTCGTGGCCAGCAGACGTGTGCTCATGCTAATTCCAGCGCTGTGTGTGTGTGTGTGTGTGTGTGTCAGATCTCCAGGGCATCTGTCACTCATTCAGAGTGATAACACCTTCAGTATAGCAGCCGCTCCCACACGCCATCTGAGCGCCACACATTAAGTCATTTTACCTGCGGCGGTGCATTTCATGGCGCAGAGAAAAGTGATGTGCAGAGACCTCGGATGAAATGAAAGGCATCCCTCACTGCAGCTGACAAACACACACTCCGACACGGACACACCGTCCACCAGTCGAGCCGTAATCACTGCGAAAAACAGAACAGGAGCAGGATTCTCTGGCAGAGCGCTGGAATCCAGTTCCTCGAGAGAGTGCATGAACGCTGGGCCTCTGGATGAACCGCAGAAATGCCTGATGGGTAATCGATATCTTCGACCTTCTCCCTCTGTGTCTGTAGGGCGTTTGAGCCGAATGAGTCCACCACAAACCTCAGTGGAAACAGAAGAGGAAATTCATGCTGCTGTTCGTTCCGTTTGACCGTATCGAGTTAATGATGTAAACTAAACAAGTTAAAACATCAGTTCACCTTTAACTAGATAAACCAGTGGTGTTTATCTGTGAGACTCACTGGTGTTTTGGAGGAGTTTGTTCCTGAGATCCCAAAAGATCCTTTTGTACAATGGAAAGATAAAGAACCTTTATTAGAAGGCAACCATTTTCATTTTTGCTTCATTTTATATTTGTACAGTATTTTATTTAAATGACCAGTTACAATTTGTCATAGTTTTTGTGTTTTAGTTTATGTTTGTGCAGCAGGTTCTGGTTCAGGCCTGTCAGTGCTGCTCTTTGTCTCTTGAGTTCTCGTGTGTTAATAGTTGAGTGTCTGCTAGGCACAAAGTGCTCAAACATCAGAGAGAAAGAGACTGAATGAAGCGGAGCGCCGTCACTCGCTCTGTGACATCAGCGTCATCATGCTTCAGACGTGCTTCAGGTTCAGGGTTACTGATGAAATCCTGCAGGAGGTTCAGTAATTACAGGAGAAACTGCAGGTCAGTGCTGAATCTTTGTCACACTGTCCACACAAAATAATGTTTTAGCATGTATAATCAGATTAATAAACCATTCCTCAGAGAAAACCTGGATGAAGGTTTCAGAGCAGCTGGTGTTTGTGTGTGTGTGTGAGAGAGAGTGTGTGTGTGTGAGAGAGAGAGTGTGAATGCGAGTGAGTGAGTGAGTGTGTGTGTGTGTGTGTGTGTGTGTGTGTGAGAGAGAGAGAGAGCGAGAGAGAGAGAGTGTGTGTGTGTGTGTGTGAGAGAGAGAGAGAGCGAGAGAGAGAGAGTGTGTGTGTGTGTGTGTGAGAGAGAGAGAGAGCGAGAGAGAGAGAGTGTGTGTGTGTGTGTGTGAGAGAGAGAGAGAGCGAGAGAGAGAGAGTGTGTGTGTGTGTGTGTGAGAGAGAGAGAGAGCGAGAGAGAGAGAGTGTGTGTGTGTGTGTGTGAGAGAGAGAGAGAGCGAGAGAGAGAGAGTGTGTGTGTGTGTGTGTGAGAGAGAGAGAGAGCGAGAGAGAGAGAGTGTGTGTGTGTGTGTGTGAGAGAGAGAGAGAGCGAGAGAGAGAGAGTGTGTGTGTGTGTGTGTGAGAGAGAGAGAGAGAGAGAGAGAGTGTGTGTGTGTGTGTGTGTGAGAGAGAGAGTGTGTGTGAGTGTGTGTGTGTGTGTGTGTGTGTGTGTGTTGAAGCTCTCATGAATGTTCCTCAGACTCTGAAGTTGTGCTTTGTGTCAATTCTGCAGCAAAGAACATTGAAAACCGTCTTCGAGACCTCGACAAAAGCAGTGTGTCGGTGGTCCAGAGAAAATCAAACCCTCTAGTAGTTCAACATCAGCAAAAACATAAAGAACCGAAAAAAAGCAACAGAATTCATCATCATGGCTCTGTTCTGCCTGAAATAATTTCACGTGAAACAGAGACGCAGTCGGGTGGATTGTGTTGATTGGTTTGAGACGGTGAACACAAACACACACGGTGATGGAGGGGTGTGTGTAGTAACAGCAGCTCAGATCTCACACATGCAGTCAGTGACACTGTTTAATGAGGCACACCGCTGGAACAGAAGTGTTTTTACTCGTCAACATCATTCATATGTGGCACCTTCTACGCTGCTGAACAGATACTCGTCATAATCCAAACTTCATCGTCCTTCATCTTCACAAAACTGATCTTATTGTCATTTGAGTTGAACTGCTGAACTATCAGGTCCAGTGCTCAACAAATACAGATTCATCATCTTATGATGGTCAAATAACCCGCTGTGTTTTGTATAAAAGTTATTTAATGATACTATAGTAAAAAAACGTACATTATAAGAGAGTTCTAAAAACGGCACAGACAACCGCTGCGGTGAAATGCAAACTCGTGAAGATCTGCGGGTCACAGAGGATCCGATGCGGGAGAACTTTAGGAAGCACTTCAGAGTCGCACATTTAAGTTTCCGTTCAGATCAAATCTCAACAGCGTAGGAAGTGTATCCGTGTGACGCAGCTGACACAGAACAGCATACGTTGTTTACGTCCAGCTGATATTCTCCGCAGCATTTCAGCCTTTAGACCATTTTGATGAAAAGGGATAAATCAAGCATATCAATTAATTTAAAACGTATAAATATACTATTACTGTCTTAATTGTTTAGATTTTTAGAAGGCACATTAACTTATTTACAACTCGGTGTTTGCTGAGTAAAAACATGAGTTGATATTTGCATTGATCTGACCATAATCACAAAGAAAGGCTTATTGGAAATGCAAATTCATTTTTCAGATTCATTTAGGAGCGCTGAAATATAGCGGTTTCCCCTGTAACGGCTGTACACAAAGCAGCTCCGCGCTGCAGCGCTCATATTTATTCAATGACATCATTGCGTTTTGAAGTTTAATCCAGTCGTATCGCGACTCTTGTCTTTCCGTCCCCAACTGTAAGACCTCTTGAAATTATAATTAAGACATTTTTTAAACCTGTCGGGCAGAGTGGTGATACATTTTGGTAGCCCGACTGGAAAACACAATAGCCCCGGGACGTCAGGCTAGCGATTTTGCGAGCCCTGAGGTAATAATCTGGCACGGGGTCAGACTTGTGCACAACACCGGTCCATGAACACTCGAGAGCATGTTGCCGTGTATCTGCACTGCAACTGTAGATATATGCATGCATGAATATCTGTATCTTCAGTAGACTCATACAGCTTCTTCAGGAATTTAAAGTTTTTACAACCAGTTGTTGCATCTTGAAACTCGTTGATATTTAGTGACGACACACAGACCGTTCTGGAGCGGTTGAATCTGGCGTCTACCTATAAAACATTCTGAGAACATATAGTTGTTAGCTGTGGATTTAAACTGCTCTGCTGCAAACACATATTTTAGCTGTTCAAGATCGAGTAACTGCGCTCTACATGTCTTAATGAAGGTTGTGTTGGTCAGTAGTTCAGCGGGACTCACAGCCGTCTCTGCCGGTCTCATGAGCAGCTGTTCTGGTCTCACTTGAGTCTCCTTTAAAAGAGAAACAGCTTCATCTGTGAGTGTGAGTCTGCTGAGACACGCGAGGCCTGAGAGAGCAGCAGAACATCCTGAACCAACACACGCCTGTGTGTGTGTCTGTGTGTGTGTCTGTGTGTGTGTGTGTGTGTGCCATCAGAGAGACAGATGGGTGGACAGACAGCAGCGCTGTTGTGCTGCAGACAGTCCCTGCTGAAGAGAGAGAGACAGGTGCAGTTGTCTGACAGCTGCTGGTTAACAGAGTCTCTCAGCGGTTTAATTGGAGGAAACTCAGTGTGAGCGAGTGGAGATCAGCCAGAACCGGCCCATCATGGACAGGAAGTCCTGCGTTTGCAGCTCACACACTGCCAGCCTGTCGCTCTCTCTCTCTGTCTCTCTCTCTCTCTCTCTCTCTCTCTCTCTCTCTCTCTCTCTCTCTCTCTCTCTCTCTCTCTCTCTCTCTCTGTCTCTCTCTCTCTCTCTCTCTCCCTCTCACACACACGCCGGCTTTGATTATGTGCTCGTGAACGTGAATGAAGGCTTCATCCGTAGAGCTTCATGTCCACAATCAAGGACGATTAAGATCCACACTGAAACACGAATGCCGTTAAAACTCATTCTCATCCATTTCTGAAGATTTCAGTGAATACACACTGAAAAAATAAAAACAAAGATTGTTTGACAAGAAAATACTATTTCAGTTTTTTTTACTTTTCACATTTAAAGAAACAGTTGAGCCAACCATGTAATTTTGATGAAAATGTGCTCATCAGGCCGTTGAGATGAGTTTGTTTCTTCATCAGATTTGGAGAAATGTAGCTTTGCATCAGTGTCTCAGCAATGGATGCTCTGCAGTGAATGGGTGCCGTCAGAATGAGAGTCCAAACAGCTGATAAAAACATCATAATAATCCACAAGTAATCCACAGCACTCCAGTCCATCAGTTAGCATCTGGAGAAGACAAAAGCTGAAACACATCCAGCATTAAGACGTTTTTAACTAAAATACATTGAGTCCATAATCCATAATAAAGCTTCCTCCAGTGAAAAAGTGTTCTGGTGTGAATCAGGAGAGAAATCTGCACAGATCAAGCAGCGTTTAAACAGCTCTAAACAAATATGTGGCTGGATTTTGTGTGAGAGACAACAGCAGATGCACTTTTTCACTGGAGGAAAAAGTCAAATCTGATGAAGAAACAAACTCATCCTAATCTTGGATGGCCTGAGGATGAGCACATTTTCATTTTTGGCTGAACTATTCCTTTAACTCAGTGTGTTACTTGTCATTTCTTTGTATTGACTTGTGAATTTACTAGCAATTTCTGAGTGAAAATTGTTTAGTTTTTTTTCAGCGCAGTGACGTCTGAAGGTTGTTTGTCACTCACACATATGACAGGCTCAAATCTAGTTAAAGATGACATGAGTGTATCTGGACCCGTCTGGATATGTGTGATAATAACCCAAGCTGTCTGTGTCTCTGTCAGGTGTTATGTGGACGATAAGGTGTCGAAGGTGGCCTGGTTGAACCGCTCGAACATCATCTTCGCGGGTGAGGATAAATGGTCTCTGGACCCGCGGGTGGAGCTGGTGACTCAGGGTCAGCTGGAGTACAGTCTGCGGATACAGAAGGTGGATGTGTTCGACGAGGGTCCGTATACCTGCTCCATCCAGACCAAACAGCAGCCCAAGACGTCACAGGTCTATCTCATCGTTCAAGGTGAGCGCCGTGTGATTGACAGGCCGTCAGACCAATGACAGCTCATCATCTGTTAATGCTCCTGCAGAAACCTCCCACTCTCTCCATCAGCCGCTCGCCTTCAGATCAGACATGTGATGATTAGTTGGATGCACGGGTGGGCGATTTGGCAAAAACATATCACGATTTTTTTTCAGGCAGAATCATGATCCATAATCTTCTCACGATTCTTTTTCACGTTGGTTTTTAAGACTCCTTTGAGAGTTACTGAGCAGCACAGCCAATAATCTCACTATCTAAAACATACAGAGGTACAAGAGAACAAAACATAAAAATTAATGACAGACTATTCAGGTCAAAGCACAGGTGGGTCATATCACCAAAATATTATTTCACTTTATTTTATTTCATTATTTTATCTTTGTTATTAAATAAATGCAATATACGAGCGATACAGATAAAATAACCGGCTTTAATTTTTCAGCTACTGCAGCATTGAAGTATGAAATTGAATAATCAAATGTAAAGATGAAACTGCATAATCTTGACTCAGTCTTTTGTTGTTTGATTGACATTAGAAGCACAGACGGCAGCAGGTTTATTAGGCTGCTGTCACTTTAAGACTGAATGCACAGATCCAGTATAGTGATGCACACACATCTGATATTCTCGCAACTGTTTACATTCACTCCACATTAATGATTAAATGGTTCGTCATGATTATTTTGCTCAAAAAATTATTGTGATTATTGTCATTTTACAATTTTTTACATTTCATCAGCATTATTGCACCCAAATCAAGAGAACATCAACTCGCATGGTTTGCTCACAGGTTTATCTCGAACGACTGGATGTATGACACTAGTATTTTAGCAGAATATTTCAATAGAGATCACTAAACTTACATGTCTGCTGGTATTTCCAGCTCATCAGCGTGTTTTCCGTAATGTAGAGAGATCATGTGCAAATGGTTGGCAGGTTGAGATTATTAAGAAAACACTGGGCAGAAAATGTATTGATTTAAAAGAAAAGCTCTGATTTAAACTCATAACATCTGGCAACCGCAACCATATAAGCTTCTGGAGGCTCATTACCGATGCGAGATAATGCAAATGCCAAATTAAAATGAAACATATTTAGGATTGATGAATATCACAGATGATTATGCTTAATAAATCGAGAGGCAGAAATCGTGATCATAATTCAAATACGGTTTATCGTGCAGCTCTAGTTCAATTTGAAGCACAATAAGACACGAAAAACGGTCAGAACAGTGTGTGAGCAAAATCAATAAAAGTTTAAACTGATCATTCTTTTAAATCGCATGCCAATAATAAACTTGGCGGTTTAGCGTGATACTAATGATCTCTGTGATGGCAGAGACATTTTAATAATTCATGATCTAATATAGTCATATCATATGTTGCTAGTTAGTTAGTGCTGAACACTAGATGGCGCGCGTGTTGATTTAGCACGAGTGTAACCGCACTGATTTCAGGTGTTTCTCAGTCCAGTGAGTCGCTGTGTGTCTGTCGTCAGTAGGGCTGTCAAAAAATATTGAATTTCGAATATTCATCGAATTTAAAATAAAAATCCACATTCGAATGCAAAAACGTTGCATTTGAATATTAGGTGTGCTTTAAGGAGGCACACTTTGTATTAAACTATGCATACATACATGATGCTGTTTTGTTTATAGTTGTTTAAGCAACTTAATTAATTATAATTGGTTTATAACATTATTTTAAACATTATGCACTTTTTTCGCAGATAGTCATGTTATCTTATGCTTTGAATAAACGTGCATTAGTAATATTTTGCTCGATGCGCCCTCTTGTGGCCTCAGGAGAGAAGACAAAAGCTTTTCTTCACCCTAACTGAAATTATGCATTTTTAATTCGAATTTTGATAATATTTAAGTACAAAATTTGAATGTAGTTTTTCAGCCATTTTGACAGCCCTAGTCGTCAGTGCAGCGTTTCTCAGCGTGTGTGTGTGTGTGTGTGTGTGTGTGTGTGTGTGTGTGTGTGTTTAGCGGTGATCCAGACATTCAGGGATTTGGTGTGGTTCTGTCCTCAGAGTACAGCCGCTGTGTGTCAGACCGTGGAGGCCTGTGTTGACAGTCCTCAAGATAGTGAGGTGAGATGATTCACCCGCATTTTACTTTAACCATCTACAACAAGCAAGCTATGTTTGGCACTTTTTGATGCTTTTTCTTCACAATCCCATTAAACTCATCCTTTACAATATGGAAAAAATATGTTAGTTTTGTAAAGAAATGCATGCATTGGCAATTTATAATTATCTACAAAAATAATTTCAAGCATTTCAGCATACGTCTTGCAATTGAAAAGGTAATGAGAAACATAAAGTCAGTTGGGTCCAAACTTATCAAACTGGTTGATTCCAGGTCACCATAAGATACAGGCGACACTAAAAACTTATTCTGGGGGAAAAGGGCCTGTTGTTTCATATACTACCAAATGTTTGGGATCAGTAATATACACTACCATTCAAACGTTTTAGATCGGTGAGTTTTTTAAGTCTCTTCTGCTCACCATGGCTGCATTTATTTGATCCAAAATACAGCAAAAATAGTAATATTGTGAAACTATTTTACAAATCCGTGTCACATGATCCTTCAGAAATCATTCTAATATGCTGATTTGGTGCTCAAGAAACATTTCTGATTATTATCAATGTTGATTTTTTTTTTCAGAATTCCTTCTTTGATGAAAGTTCAAAGGAAATGCATTTATCTGAAATAGAATTTCATCAAAAATAAATCCTGCTCATCAAAAAATCCTGAAATGAATGTATCACAGTTTCCACAAAACTATTCAGCAGCACAACTGTTTTCAAGATTGATGATAATAATAAATGTTTCTGGAGCAGCAAATCAGCATATTAGAATGATTTCTGGAGGATCATGTGACACTGAAGACTGGAGTAATGATGCTGACAGTTCAGCTTTGATCACAGCAATAAATTACATTTTACAATATATTCACATAGAAAACAGTTCTTTTAAATTGTAATAATATTTCACAATATAATAAAA